TCCCTTTTCATTGCAGGCCTCAGGAAGATATGAGCAATTGCGTTTCCACCTGTCGTTCTTTCGATGCTCTGGAGTCGAAAACTACACCATCGAAAGTGGAGGCAGCGACCACCATCACCACTGTCCCATCCACTATCCCCTCCTCTTTACCCTCTGGCTTGCCTGCCAATACCAGGCTCATTGCTTCAAGCGCATCCCCTGATCTCTCCTACGTTCCTTCCACTACATCCTTTCCTGCCCTCCTTCCTGGTGGATGGAATGAGGATCGAGTCCGGATGTGTTCCAGACGAAGACGGAAAGATCAAGAAGATGAGACTGAGGATGTGGCAGAAAAGACTCTCACTGCTAATGACTTCTTCGATGGGAGGGAGCTCGATGATTGTAAGTCATAAATACTTAACTTTCTAAGATTAGACGCTCATTCTTTCAACAGGAGGAAGACGATTTGCTGAGAGGTAGTTATAAAAAAAACTCCATTTTCCAGCTCTTGGTCACTATTGTTTGTCGTCGTTATTTGAAAACCTTTAATTGAGACAAATATGTTTTAGTTTATTTATTGCTTTACTTGTGGAGTGTATTGAAGCAGGGTTGTTATTGTAGGATGTTTTAAGTCACGATAAAATGACAAAGTTATTGGGAAATTTAAATTCTTTGCCATGAGAAGCCTAGTTACTTTATTAGGATCTTGGCCAAGAAGATGAGTAGGCAATTTACATACCTTATCGAGCTTTCACATTTCCACTTCTATTGAAACGAAGCTAGATTTTTTGACTTTATTGTTTCCAATGCCTGGTGAGTCATCGGAGTTCTCTCTACTGCTCGTTGGAACGCCTGCCAATGCGAAGGTCAGGAGTTCGTTTCTCATTTACGTTCTTGCCCAACAATTCTCGTTAATAAGACTGATCGTGAATTACATTGACAGGCATGTAGTTTGACTGCAGTGTCTCCATTGCAGACCACACTGAATTATTCCGTTTGCAAAATCAAGTGAAAGGATCATATTTTATGCCTGTCACCTTGGTAGTTGGAGTCTCGCAGTTACTATTGCTTCAGGTGAGAAAGGAACGAGGCGGAATTACACTTAGTGAGTGGGCAAATTGAGTGAAAGCGAAGATAGCTTATTTTTCCTAAATTATTCATGTATTTCCACGCTAATTTTGTGCTTGGGTGATTCTTACTTCGGTAAGGCTTCGGACATAGGCTGGGCTCTTGGGATTTGGAGTCATGTGATTCAATTTGGATTGCACTTTTGCCATCTCATCGAATTCCACACTTATAGTGTAGCAACGGTTGCATCAACATTCCGAATTACATTGAAATGACTATTCAAGAGAACGTCGATGTGTTACTAGGCTATAGAAGTAGTAAGTAGAATTCAATCTCCCTAAGAAAACCCGTTTTTGATCACTCTGAGTCTGGTTACATAGTTTCTCCACTTGGACTCAATTTAAACAAACGACAGATTTTATTAATTTTCACTGCATTTTAATAGAAATTAGGCTTTTTGTTTGCCTGTTTCAAGAACTTTTTCCTAACAGTAAACATTTAGTTCCTTCTTCGTTACTTCGATGGCTTAAATAATAATGTGAATCTGCTTTTGTGGTGGTGACACGGTTTTCAGTGTGCACATCGGACAAGTTCGAGATCACTAGACAAATGCTCATTGCTGTGGGTGTCAGGTAGTTAGATATTTGGGATTCCCATTCAAGTGTATACCCAATTCACTTGGAAGATTGTTGAATCTCCTTTATTTCTGATTTTCGGAATTGAAAAGTTACTTCTTATTTTGATTTCTTATTCGTGTCTCCTCTTCCCTTTTCCCTTTCGGGGTAATTAAGTGACGACTTGTTTGTCTATTTTTAGCCTCAAAGTGGATATGCTCCTGCCATTTTGTTAATTGAGTTACGCTGTGCTTCTTCTGTATGTAAATAAAATCCCTCCTTATTCAAATAAATAGGCGCTGTGGGAATTGGTGAATGCGTTGTGTATACACACGTGCACACTTACGTGTTCAAACTGACTCCCCACAGAGCTTAATCTGTATCGACAGCTTATGTGACCTTTGCTAGGGGACTCGCTCTAATTTGAACGCTTTGCTTAACATTTCCATGTGCACATCTATTGTCCTACATTCTCCAATGCAGTTCTGCTTGTTGATTAAAATCTGTCCAGATTGATGAAATTATTTGTGAAGTAGTGAGAGACGAAGTGCATAAAGTTGC